GCTTAGAATCAAGTAGAAAAGGTTTAACGCTGGTGCAAATACTGAAACATAAATATGTTAAACATAATAAATTCTGAAAATAAATTCTGAAATAAATATTTAGGCATAAATAAAATAATGACAAACACTATTGCACACGTAGCAAAATAATCTCTAAAATCAGATCAAACCTTTACCCACACAGAGGTTTCAAGACATTATTGGTGGATTTGGTGGAAAAGGGAGAATGGCTAAAAAGTCACATATAGCCCTCCACGGGGGTGCATTGTCTTGGGTACTATGATAAACGTTACACAAATTAATATTCAACTTTACGTATGAATAATCTGGTCCTCATTAAAGGGGCTTTCTGTTTGAGGGGGGGCTATATCACGCGATGGCAAGGGGGAACTCCGCCCCGCTCAGTAGGAGAGAGAGGCGAGAGAGACACCACACCCCCCGCCTCCAAGCATAGAGAGAGAGGGGGATAACACACACACATGCGGTCCAAAACCGCAGGCCAGGTGATTGCTTTAAATAAGGGAACTGCTACAACACACGGAACCACGGAACAACGTCGGCATTAAATCCTATGAGCAGTGTTCGTGAGTGTAAATTGCAACGAATGCAAGCATTTATAATGCATGTAGATTTGTCTTGGACCTGTCGTTGCTGATTTTCGAAGCAAAACAGCATAGTGCTTTTCATGTTGTTTGGTGTGTTTGTTGCTAGTGTAACCGTTAAAAACTGCTTTGAAACGGTTAGAAACGTTGGTAAACAGTGCTTCGCACGCACTTCTAGTGGACTATCCATTCCGCCCGCCCTGCACCACGTCTCCAGCAACACGGAGCTGCCTGTGGACGCCTGGGTTCTGTAAATAATGCCGGATCGGCGAACGCAGCAGCCTGCATCGGCCGATGCCGATACACGTAAAACACGCAAAAATCGGCCGATAAAATCGCCCTCTACTTAATATTTTTATATTTTGGTACAGTTTCTATTTGTTAAGAAGGAGGGAGCTAGTATTGTTTGCATTGTATTTTATGCATTGTTGACTTGTGATACCTTACTAAATGTTTACTCTCTGTCTCCACTTACAGGTTTTCTGGAGCAACATGTGGCTTGGCTTTAGTGTTTGTCTTTCCTGCTTTGGTCCACATAATCTCCCTACGAAGGCAGGGGTTGCTTCGCTGGCCATCAGCCCTCTTCCACATTTGCCTGATCTTGCTCGGCATTGCCAACCTGCTAGGTCAGTTCTTCATGTGAGAGTCAGACACTCTTAACTGTTCAGAAGCCAGATTAAAAGGTGTGATGGAGATTTCAGATGGGAATCTCTGAAATTAGATGTAGAGTAATGTGCATAACCGGACTTAAGTCATGGCCACCAAAATAATACTTAGATAAACCACGGCAGCCTTCAGCCAGTCAGATTAAATGTCTGTGTTATGAGATTAAATATCGCACACTTCCTGTAGTACAAGTGATTGCTGTGACTTATAGAGGTTTCAGGGCAACAACATGAATCCAGTGTCTTCTTTTTATAACAGTATTTTTTTATTTTCTTCATGCAGTCCAGCCAGTGGATGAAATCTTCCTCATAAATAATTTCTCAGTTGATACTGTTGTTTATACCTGCCTAGACTGATCCCAAACAGCTTGCATAGACACACTGTGAACTGTTCTGAAACTGTCTTTGATAACATCAGTAGCAAGATTTCAGGAACATTTAAAATATGGGACACAATTGAGAGCTATAAGACAACCAGAGGAGTATCTTGTTATTTAAATTCATACAGTAACTCTTCAGAGTCAAACATTAACTCTACAATTAATAGTGCACACTTTTTGTGACAGTGAAATATCAACTAAATCTGTAGCTCCGCTTAGCTTTACAGGGGTTAATAGTGGTTTTTAGCTCATTGTTTCGCTGTCTGACCCACAGCTATACTGGTTTAGTTCATTGTCACCGCTCTCATAGCGTTTTTTTTTTTCAGAGAAACATCTCTAAAGCTCTGTTGTACACTACTTCCTCAGCACCAGTTGGTAGAGACCAAAAACTGAGCTAAAATTGAGTTTATATTGAACTTAGATTGATCAGGTGACACAAAAACCATTCCAACGTTGCTGCTGCTCCTGAACGTGTAAATAAGCAACTGTTTGCTGACAAGATCAACTTAAAAGGTGATGATGTGTCGATGTTGTGTCTTACAAATGGAATTGTTTCGACTTCCCCCAAGTGAACAAAAAATGAGTTACTGCAGGTTAAAATTTGTTACATGAGAAGCTTTACAGCTGAATTTTATGATCATTGAGTTGTAGTTCACCAGGGAATAATTTTACTAACTTTGTGATTATGTAACCTGTGTATATGTATTGTTGAAGAAACATTTGGCGCAGTCTTTTAATTTTTATGAATAGTGTTGATTTACATGTATGACATGTTTACATGATGCCTAGATGATGTGTCCAATGTGTTATATTTTACTAATGATAGGATAGACAAAGGGAATATGTGTGTGAAAATAAACCATCTCAGTCTGTAAGAAATGTAGTTTCCTGTTTGCTTTTACTCATTAAATAATAATTTGAGTTTATTATACTAGTGTACAGCGCTTTGAGTGGTCTGAAGACTAGAAAGACGCTATATAAGTACAGTCCATTTACCATACTTTGGTCTTATTTGAGTAGTGTTGTCCATTAGTCCTATTGTTAAAACATTGTGCTCGGCAAGATAACAGCTTAGATCTAGCAACACAGTAACTACTGTTACTAATTCACAAAATATTGATAGAAATGGTCAAAGAACGTTACTGTGAGAGTGACACATTGTGTCTGTTTTGTGAGATTTTCAGCTTGACCTTCAAAGCCTTTGACCACATTGAATCCGAGACATTACCCTAACCCTAACTGTACATCTTGTATGAACCCACGTGCTGGTGGCCCAGAGTTCTTCAAAGATCAACAGACACTACTTCCTACGCTGTGCGGTGTCTCTGACATGTCACATACAGGTGCATCTCAATAAATTAGAATATCATGGTAAAGTTCATTTATTTCAGTAATTAAATTTAAATGGTCTTTCAATCTCCAATGGTCTGGTTCAGTAGGCTACACAATCATGGGGAAGACTGCTGGCTTGACAG